TTTTTTGCTGTTTTGCCATAGCTGTTTGCCATTGCTGTTTGCCAGTTTTGCCATTTGCCATAAATGTTTGCCAGTGTTTTGCCTAATGTTTGCCATTGCGGTCATTTGCCCGACAAGGCTAGATCGCCGACTAGCTTTGGCCACCAACGGCACCTACCTCCAAACTCGGATACTCTGCCGTTAAATGTGGTTAAACGTAGATTTAGGCGAAGTTAACGGCAGATGTATCTAGCAGCGGGGAGCCCCCGACGTCACTTAGAACAGTTGCAATTATCGCGCATCCGTCACTTGCTACAGCTTGGCTAGCCAGCTACAACTGCTCTTTCGCTCTGTTCCCCTTCGCCCTTTCCCCACCCTGGTTAATGTTTGTTGATACTCGGGTTAAGTTCGTTGTTTTGTTTTAGTTTTGTTTTTTGTTGTTTTGTTTGGTTGTTTTGGGTTTGTTTTTTTTTATTTGTTTTTCTTTATAGGATACAATCTATAGACCACTATAGAATGCGTCCTTTTTTTCCACTGATCATCAGTGTGACAGGTGCCGGAGGTCTGCCTTGGCAGAATTGTCATGGCAAACTCCTATTGCTACTATAATTAGCCTTATTAATACGTTTTTTGCTGTTTTGCCATAGCTGTTTGCCATTGCTGTTTGCCATTTGCCAGTTTGCCATAAATGTTTGCCAGTGTTTTGCCATAAATGTTTGCCATTGCGGTCATTTGCCCGACAAGGCTAGATCGCCGACTAGCTTTGGCCACCAACGGCACCTACCTCCAAACTCGGATACTCTGCCGTTAATATATATATATATATATAGGATGAAATGTTCTCGAGCGAATGCTTCCAAAGTGCGTAAGCAGAAATTTCTGCCTGCCGCTGCTGGGTTTAGGACGACCTTCGAAATTTTATGCTTGCCCGTTTTGGAAGCATTCACTCGAGAACACTTCATCTTATCATTCACAACATCACACACACTTACAGCATTCGGGTACGGTTGTAGTTATAAGACGTCATAAAAAAGCATACAAGCCAATATGGACCACTCACGTTTCGCGCCAAAACAGAGGAAAAAGAAAAATAAGCTGAACTGTAGTACGGACCTCCCACCCGGTAAATAACATCTGTGTTGTCAGCGTTATTTTGTCCTTTGGATGGTGAATGCGAACTAAATACTGAAATTGCTTTAAAAGAACAGCTTCAAATATTCTCATTTTTCTATAGGTATTACCCCCGCATCCTCTTTTTGGCTCTGGATAGGTTACAAATTCCTACCCAGAAACAGCAACTTGATCCAGAATGCATTTTTGAGAAAATGTTACCCTGGTGTGAAATATGGACTACGTTGCTAAGGGCGCAAGGTATAGTGATAGCAATTTTGATTGTTGCCGAAATGTTTTTAATTAGCTTTCAAACTGAATTAAATATGGAAAATTCATATTAAAACTCATATTAATATGGATATTTTCTGCTTCTCTAGATAGTATAAAGAATCACTCTAAGTTCCGAACAGGAAAGCAAATTTGGCAAGACCTAGAAGATGCTATTACAACAGCGGATATTTCAACAGCATATTTGGTTCTTATAAAACAACACAAGAATAAATTGTCGTTCCTTTTCGCCAATCTACATGCTAATGACTTTGACACTGCAGTGAATGTGAAAAAGTATCTCATGTGCATTACCAGACTCGTTGAAACCGAAGAAAAAACTCGTAAAAATATGTCATTGCTAGAATCCGCCATTAAATTTTCGCAAAAGCTGTCTTGGAACTCTGGTCAAATAGCGCATGAATTCAACTCAAGGAGAGATAGCCTGAGTAAAATTAAACTGAGCGAGCTCAATCATGAGTACTGGAAACCACTCCTTCCTTTATTAGAGTTGTCATCGTCTCTCCAGCTTGTGATGAAATCATTTACCTTTAGAAACGTAGCCCAAGTTTGTCTACAAGAGAATAACAGTGAGAACTATCTGAAAGCTTTGACAGATAACGAAAGTGAAAAGACCAAGTTGTATCCGCTCTTCAATTTCCTTTCAACTGTAGTGATACAGAAATTTAAAGCAGAATGGGACCGCGTTCTTCGTGATCCTGACTTGCAAACCGTGGAAACAATGCAAATTTTATTAGGAGATCCGAACGATGCAAGGAACAGGGAGAATATTGTGGAGGAATTTGAAACTTTAAAGAATCACTTCAAACTCCGCTCGTTCCCACAAAAGATGCAGAATTACATTGGAGATTACATGAAATACGAAAGTGTTTTGAAGCAAGTTGACGATCTTGTCCACTTACTAAAAACTCTGGCAATCATGAAATCTGGAAATACGCTAGTCTCCACTCTGGCGACTTTCATAGAAAGGTTTAAGTATGACGACACCATTGTTCTAAAAGATCTGCACGAACCGCTGTCCAAGGTAGACAACATGATTTCACAGTACATGGACAAAGTTGATGACGTCATCGTTGAGCTGGGTCAGTCGCTTGAATTGATACAATTTTTAAAAGAAATCGTTAATGAGGACATACGTTTGCTTATAGATGCCGTTGAAGAGCATTCAGACAATCTTGTAAAGGAGTCTTTAGTTTCAATGTTTATCCAGGTTCACGGTTTTCTTGCTCCATTAATTAAAATGTGTCAACGCAATTTTCCACCTGACCTAATTTTAATGCAACTGGTGCATCGCTGCGAGAGCCAAAAGGACATGTCAATGAAGATTTGTCAGTGTAGTAGGAACGTGCATAGTCTGAAAGGATTATACCAAAACGTTGCCAATCGTGAAGAAATGACAAAGGAAATCATCATGAATTGTCTAAGCAAGGGAGTGTTTGATATTTCGCTAGATGACAATGGTATTTGCCAAATAACCATGAGTTACGAGAAAGATGGAAATAATTTAACAAAAAAGTCCATGTCAGAACTTCATGATCTTCGCAGTCGTGCACATTTGATTATCAGTTCAGACAAAAAACACAATGATGAACCCAAGCAAGAAATTAATTACACAGACTTTATTGAACAAGTCAATCTTCTCTCAGAGATCGAAGAAGCAATTCTCAGACTACAGTCTTCTGGATATATCACATATCAAAATGCCCGTCAGTGGAAAACAATGAAGGAGACAAAACATCTTCAAGAGTTAAATGACAACCTTCGCGAAGACTTGGGAGAGTGGGAAGAAAGTTTACACAATGCTCGCCAGCAACATTACTTTCTTAACTACTACTGGTCCGACCAACTATGTGTTCTTTATCAGTTCTTGACCAACCCGAACCGAACCCAAGTGGATTTCGAAAACGTTCTTACGTTGATACACTTTGTTGATCCAACCATTGATGAACAACAGCTACGTGAATATGGTGAACTCCATTCAAGAAACCATCAGAACAGATCTCAAGACACTCCACTTGGTATTGTTTCAATAATTGGTAATGCATTAGATGACATATTTACGAATACACGTCCCGTTTTACGAAATATTTTGGACGATATACTTCCATCTTTCCAGGCAGTGGAGTCCACTGCGTCCATTAAAAAGGGTGAACTTTACGTTGTGGCCTTAGAAGAACAAAGTTTGCTTACTGTCAACGTTATGCTGTCCCTGTATGAGAATACATCAAATGGATACCCTGAACCTTATCAGGTTATCTTTTGTGGTCCACACACAACTTGGGAAGAATTACAAATATTCCTCCACAGATGTTTCACTCAGACGACATATCTACCACGTGAAAGTTTGTTCTGTTTGGCAAATGTTGAACTCCTCACTAACGAAGTTCAGTTTGACCTGGTTGATTTTATTAGGAAGCAGGACACTGAGGACAACGACTTAGATTACCAACTTGCAATAATCTGCAGAGGCGGAGACCACCATAATATAGTTGGGGAATTTTCGAAATTTCGGCATTCGATCTCTGGTATGACATATCCAGAAGTTTCTCAACGTTTCCAATCTACATGGCCTGATGTAAAGTTTGTAACATCAACATTACCAGGACTTGGTAAAACAGAACTCATTCGTCAAGAAGCACTGGACAAAGGTATGAATGTCGTTACCTTCCCCATTAGTGGCCAACTTGATCAAAGCAAGATTATTCAGCGCTTAAAACAGCTTGATCTCAAAGATTTCCAATGTCTTCATCTTGATATTGGCGAAGTTGATGATCCGGTCTTGTTAGACACATTTTTGTTCCAATTGATTGTGACAGGAATGGTTTCGTTTGCAACTAAGTTGTACAGCCTTCAAAACACCCATGTTTATATCGAAATCGCTAATTCACTAAATGATCGACTGCGTGAATCCTTAGTAATAACCCAGCGTTTTACCCGCGTTGAATTGCAGTGGAACAACTACGATGACTTAGAAGTCAGCAGTAAAATATCAAGCGATATCCAGGTAGTTTGCCAATATCTGAATGTTTTCGAGCGAGGTGAACTTGAAAGTATGGATATTCATTTCTCCGGTCGGCAAAAGCTTAAACCACTTTCAGCAAACAGATGTCGTGAATTACTGCGCAAGTACTATTCGACAAATGAAGAGATCACATTTACTGCCTTGAATACATTCTTGGGGCTACTAGCCGGCCAGTTACGAAAGTTCTCAAAAAGTCCATTCTTTGAGATTGAAAACGTGAAGCTCATGCTTGAGAATAAAGCTTCTGGGGTACGAAGCAATCTTCTAACGGCGTTACTTGATGTGTCGAAAGACTTCGCAGCCCGGTCACTGAAAACCTCTCGCTCGAGCCATTATCAACAAACACCTTCTAGTACATCCGCCCAGCACATGGTCCAAAGAGTAGAAGGAATGATTCAATGGGAACAGAGCAATCATCTATTAATTGTATTTCATGGTGTCGATTCCCAGACAATCGCGGCCTTCTACCGCGACAAAGACCGTGTACCACTAAACGTCTCTGACTTATTAAAAAGCCAAATAGTAAGAGGCAGAAATAAAGAGCTGGATGACTTCAAGAAAATGAGTCATGGAGAATTGCACGGAAAACTGGAAAGGATAGCTCGTACTGAATCTGGTATACATGAACGGCAAGAAACTGAAGAAAGAGAGTTTACTGGTTATGCATTAACGCCAGATAACATGTTGAAGATGATTTTGATAGTACTCCGCGTGAGAGCTAATGTTCCTATAATTATCATGGGAGAAACTGGATGTGGAAAAACAAGCTTAGTAGAATATTTAGCGAGAACATGTCAAATACCATTTTCAACATATAATTTCCACGCTGGTCGTACTGAAGAGGAAGTCAAAGAGTTTATTGAAAAGGAAAATAATGAAGCCCGAGAAGACACGGTACAGAGATGGATATTCCTTGATGAAATTAATACTTGCCATCATCTAGGATTGATAAATGAAATTATGTGTCACCATACTTTGTACGGCCGGCCGCTGTCGAAGAAGTTAGTCCTTGTTGCGGCTTGCAACCCATACATATTACGTCCAAAAGAGAATGCTACAACTGCTGGTCTTGAAGGCAAGAACAAAAACGATGAATATTCTGAACTCGTCTATAGAGTGCATCCATTACCTGAAGCTATGATGGACTACGTTTGGGACTATGGTTCTTTGACACCTCAAGATGAAAAGGCATATATCCAAAGAATGGTACAAAACCTTCCTCCTGAATACCAACATGTTTTAGTCGACCTTCTCGCAGAGTCCCAAACGTTCATTCGCGAATCTGAAGAAAATCCTTTTTGTGTAAGTTTACGTGATGTACGTCGATGTATACTTCTAGTCGCATGGTTTATGGATATGATTAAGAAACGATCGGATCTGATGAATGAGAGAAAGCGTATTCCTGATATTCCAAAGCATCTTGAAAAATATCAAAATCTATCACACAGTTACGACAGAAAACCTGTAATTAAAAGCATTGTTCTTGCTTTGGCCCATTGTTATTTATCAAGATTGCAAACTGAAATATTGCGGGGACAATACATAAAGAGCATGACGCAGCTATTTCCCTCTGTTCCACGTGAAGACGTTTTTTCAGCAATCATTCGCATGGAACAAGAAGATTACCTTCATCGAATGGAACTACCCCCTGGAACAGCAAGAAATGCTGCTTTACGTGAGAATGTCTTTGTTATGTTAGTGTCAATTCTTAACCGGATACCTGTTTTCGTAGTAGGAAAGCCAGGTTGCAGTAAATCGTTAGCAATCCAGCTCATCAGGAGCAACCTTCGTGGCAAAGATTCCAAAGATCCATTCTTTAGAACGCTACCACATCTGTACGTTGTTTCGTATCAAGGTTCAGAATCTTCTACGTCTGAAGGAATACACGAAATTTTTGAAAAGGCATCAAAATACAAGCGTCACAACAAAGATGCAGATGTTTTGCCTGTGGTTCTCCTAGATGAAGTTGGTCTAGCCGAGAATTCCCCAAACAATCCTCTCAAAGTTCTACACAGTATACTAGAACCGGGGAAAGGCAAATTACCAGACGTTGCAGTTGTTGGTATTTCAAATTGGGCATTGGATGCAGCTAAAATGAACAGAGCCATTCACCTGTCCAGACCAGAACCCACTCCAAAAGATCTCGAAGAGACAGCCATCTCTCTTTATCTAGCTGACAGCGGACCACAAAAAGAGATAGATGTATCCACTAAGACTGTCCTGAATTGCCTTGCTAATGCCTATCATGAATACCAGTCCAAACAAGGACATGCCAATTTCCATGGTCTTCGGGACTACTACTCTCTCGTTAAAAGTCTCCCTGCTGACAGTTGTAATGACATGGATAAAATTATCGTTGCTTTGCAACGGAATTTTGGAGGTATAGCAGTCGAATCAAGCAAAGTACAAGAGGTTTTTATTGATAAATTGAAATCACAGGTGCCCACCAGCGAAAGAGGTGTCGGCAACGCAGTCACTACGCTCATTAAAGAGAATCTAGATGACTTAAAAGCCCGACATTTGATGCTTATAACAAATGGGGACTCAGCCATTGGTATACTGAAACAAAATCTGTCGCAGTCGGTAAAGGAGACCATCACCATCTTTGGTAGTCGTTTTGAAGAAGATATGTTCGATGACTACAATTACAGAATATTAAGTCGTATCATCCTTTGTATGGAACGTGACTGTATCCTTATCCTTCGTGATCTCGAAAGTATATATGGAAGTCTGTACGACATGTTAAACCAGAATTATTCTGTGGTTGGCAAGAGAAAGAACTGTCGAGTAGCTCTAGGTGCCAACAGCAACCCCATGTGTTATGTAAACGACGGGTTTCGCTGTATTGTCCTTGTTGATTATGATAAGGTCGATTACTCAGATCCGCCATTTCTCAACAGATTCGAGAAACAGTTACTTCGTTTTTCTGACGTGTTGAATGAAAAACAACAAGAAATTATTACTGAGCTAAAATCGTGGGTTTGGGAAATGTCAAATGTTGAAGATTTGGATGAGCAGTTTAAAGAATCTGATATGTTCATGGGTTTTAATGAAGACACGCTTCCATCTCTGGTGCTATTACATAGCAACGATACAGACGAATCAAATGAAGTGATTGTAAAGAAATGCAAAGATGATCTCATGTGGATTGCCACGCCTGATGGAGTCCTACGCACCCAGAAATGTAAACGTTTAAAAGAAAACTCACGAGAAGTGAAGATGCTTGCTGAAGAATACTTCAAGAAGCCAATTCATGACGGACTGGCATCTTTTATTACGTATGATGTTGTTGATGATCAGGAGTTTGCTTACTCAACAGGCGGTGAGGTTGGTTCCAAAACCATTGTAATGACGTACGCTACTGTTCATACGGACATGTCTCAATGTCTTGAGGAGACCACTACAACATATCAGCTAGAACGTATTGGCGCTTACAAGTCAGAGAAGCAACTGGAAGACAGGATTCATAATTTCTTCTTCTCATCGGACAAGGAGTTGCTAATTTTTCAATGTAAACCCGAGTTTGATGGTGAACACATGCTTCTTGCCCGTTCAATCATCGAAGATAAAAGGAATTCCTATGGTAAGATCTATCGAGAATCAAATTCAACAAAACGAAGAAAACACGTTTGTATTCTTGTCCACGTAAGACGGGCAGTAAAGGAAAATACAGCGTGTTGGGAAATTAATTTTCTCAGTGGATGGAAACAAGTTTTTCTGGACGCACTTGATGTCCCGTCGATTGCGGTAAATAAAATGCGAAATAAAACGATCGACAATCTTCTTACGTCGTCGTCAGTTTGGTCATTTCGAGGGTTTGCTGTAAAATGCATTCTGTGGTGCTTTAGCTCCATTAAGTATACCCAAAACCCAAGGCAGGAAGAAAGTGTCTTAAAAATCGCCAAAAACCTTTTTGTATCTCCGAAAGTTACAACGGCTATTCAGAAGCTTGTTGTCCAGCATGTAAGCCCGATTAACGAAGTAGTGTCCGGACAGGTGGGCGAATCATGGCAAGTGAAAGTTGCTTGTGATATAGAACTTCTGCTTAACTCCTCCACTCTTTCGTCAGCAATGGAACAATATGTTTCTACTCTAATTCGCCAACCACTGGCCAAGATAGTTTACTTCTTAGAAAGAGAGAACGCCTGGCCACCACATCTGTTCCTTACGCATGGAGACGTGACTGAGTACGAAGACGTATGGTGTGATCTTCTACTGAATAGCTCAATTTTTAACATTACTGAAATCCCAGAATGCCTGGGAGCTGATACATATTCTGTTGGTGGTGTTCGCCTTGATCTAAGAGTACCATTCAGTCAAGTGGTTTTCCGTAGAGTTAACGCTGGAAGAAGTCTGGTTATGAAAGAGTTCACACAAGCGATGGAGAACGAAACTAATTTCGATGAACAAGGTGGACTAACAAAAAATGCGCAGTTGGAACAACTTCAACGATATTCAGAGATTCTTAGAAATTTGGCTCCGTGTATACACAATCTTCCAGAGAGGTGTTCGAGTTCATACATGGCTGACGTATTAGAGATAATATCCGCAGATTTTAAGAGCAGAATAACAAGTCAACGATGCATATCTTTCTCTGCGTGTACCTTCCTGTCATTCGCTAAACAGTGGTTACCAATCGAAGATCCGCTTCAGTTTTATGCCTTACTTCACTTGTTTGTATGGACTTCAAGAGACAAAATCAATGATCTTCTCGAACTGGTAAATTGCTGTCAGGTGCTCGTTCATGAAAAGCATTTGGAGAACTTGACAAAAAAATTCTTCTCAGAGAATCAAGGTATATTACCTTTTGCTGAAAACGAGGTTATTGATGAAAGATTTGATGTCATGATGACTGAGAAGAAGTCGTCAGAAGAGAGTGATGGTGGTAGCAGTGATAGCGACAACGATAGTGACGAAAGTGATAGTGACGAAAGTGATAGTGACGAAAGTCATAGTGACGAAAATGATAGTGAAGACAGCGATAGTGGGGAAAGTGATAGTGACTCCAGTTCCAGCGGGAACGAAGCTGAGGAAAGCATAGCAAATGATGATGACGACGATGATGACGAGGAAGAAAAATGTTTCGAGGACATCTTGGTAACCTTAGTTTGTGAAAAAATGTTTCCTACACAAGGGACAGTGACTAAGAACGGTGGACTGGAAACATGGATACGAAATTCTTCCGTCTTGCCGTCGTCAGCCTCGAGTGTGAGTAACGAGACCCCAGCATATCATTTTCTACGTTTTTGTGTTGACTACGCTAAAATCGTACAGACAACTGGGATATCTGAGGATTACCGTTACGTTCTGAACAAAATTGCGAAGGAACTTAAACCTGATTATCTTGACGCCGTTAACTCACTTCAGATCATCACGAAAGAATTAATCGACCCAGTGGAGGACCAATTAAGAGGCCAAGAGGAATATCATGCGGAATTACAGAAGTTCCTATCTCAATTTTACAATCGTTGCCTAGAAACAAATGTAGAAACCAAATCGGCTCGACCAATCATCGAACATGTTTTATCACTCCATGGCAAAGAAGTGTTAATTATGACTCCTGTCATCTATCGCTTGTTGTTCGCAGAAGAGGTGGAATCACCAGGCATATTTTTCGATATTCTTATTGATCACAGTCTAGTGGACAACTATTCGTGTCTGAAAGAAGTCGACAACGTTTTCAGGTATCTATTTGCAAAGGGTTTTATACACCATGATTCCTACCCAGCAGTCATGATATGCGATTTAATACACTTCATCCAAAACTTTGAGCAACGTTTTAATATGGAACAATTAAAGAGTTCCGACAGCGAGCTACTTAAGTGTTTTCGTTCTGCTATAAGCGTACTGACTGGAGGTGAAGATAATATTGGTCTGGTGCTTCTCTCATCTGTCGCATTTCTTCGAGCCTTTTATTCAATGTTATCAAATCAACCTAGTATTCTAACCACCGAAACTCCATATTCTCATGTTATGGGTGAGATTAACTCTCTCTTGGCAGATGGTGGTGACAGACGATCATCGCTTCGAATATTCTTCTTGAAACAACTTTATGGAGCTGGTATGACCATGTTTAATCTTCGCAAGTTATGTTGTGATAGTGATCAACTCCCTGTGATTAGGAATCAAATTGAGCAATGCACGATCGCTAACAAAGTCGAACTTGTTTCAGTCTACGGACTACCGGAATACAAAGAAGTGAAAGATGCGTATTGGCAACTCAGTCAGAAGAACGAGCGCGACATGCTTACCATCCTGATAAAATGTCAAAATTCTGCAAACCATCGACTTGCTTTGTTGGAAATCCTGATAAACATGTTTTACGTAAAGAAAGCGGTTGGTACTCTTGGTGACAAAGAAGAAGGTTTGGCTGAGTGGTTTTCGGACAAGTCTAAAGACTTTCCGTCTCCTCTGAAAGAACTTCTCCTCAGAATAATTGGTCGGGAAAAATTCAACCATCGTGGCTTACTAATTTCTCGTGAATCATCGATAGTTGCGATTGAGACGGCATTGTTAATACTTCATGTCTCATGTGTTGTAGCAAGTCGTGTTGAAGGCGAGATCTCTCCGCTGTTCCAATATTTCTCTAACCCAAAGAAATGTCATGGTACCTGCATTCTCGCGCATGGTGAGGACAGAAAGCGTCGAGTGTTCGATCAATTTACATTATGCAATGAATCTTCACCGGTAACTTGTTCGTGCAACCTAAGAATAAAACACAAAGACGACAAAGAGCAAAACACATGCCCAAACTGCGGGACAGAAACTGTGGGCAACGACTGTGGAGCACTTTCATCTCAACGAATCAAGACTTGCTATTTCGAGACAAAGTCCAAAGAGTGGGAAGAATGCACCGAAAATATGGACGCATCTGTCTATCGTGCATTAGATTTGATCGTTTATGCTTGCCTTTACGCTGGAGTTGCCACCGGAATATCGTCAAATGAAGCTGTATCGACGTTATTATGTCTAGATAAACAAGAATCCAACTCTGGAAGAACAGGTGAACCTTCAGCAGATTTTTGCTTAAACCGTATCAAAGATGACTTGCAATGCTTGATGACTATCCTGTCATGCAAGATCCGTACTGCAGTGGATGTCATGCATCTTGTGGTTGACGAATGTACAGAGCTTATTCAAGGCAAGATCTTCAGCAAAGATACATTCTCAACACGAGAAGAATGTTTAGAGTGGGAATATAAATTTGTAGATATTGCTGAAGATATTCTGCCTAATGCTCTCCAATCTGCACGATCTCTTAAAGAAATGAGAATGAACTGCAAAGACGACAATGAAGAGAGTTCGTTGATTGAAAAGCAGATTCAGGAACTTGACGAATATCCATATGATGATGCCCAACAAAATTCAGAATTGAAAAGGTTATTTCGCGTGACAAAACGGCCATCTTTCACGGAATTACGTGCCATATTTCTCAACGCCTCTCATGAGTTTCAAGAACAACATAGTGTCCTGGCAGTATTGTTTTCAAAGTTTGATGAGCTACCTTATCTCGCTTGTTTATATCCACTTCTACGATGGAGTCGCTTAGTCTCGTCAACGTTGACTCACCGCATTAGTAGAAAGGAAGCAGAGTCCAAGTTCATCAATGATTTTATCGATGGTCACCTTACGCAGGAAACGAGAAGAAAAGAAGAGCGGGATGAACTCAGAAAATTATTTGACGACTTCAAATATGCTTGGAAGACAATGCAAGAATTTGTCGATCAGAATCTTGACAAGGATGAGATGCCATATTTAACGGAATACTGCCATATAGGGTATTGTCTGACAGAGGGTGAGTTAAGCATCTACCTGCGAACGGCAATCAACATTCTTCAATCAATTCAGAACAACATTTTGGATGAGATGATCCTCACATCAATACGCACTCGACATCCTGCTCTCAGTTTTCTTGAAAAGAGCAAAACTTGTTGCGCCATTATGTCCGTTTCTCTTCAAGAAGCCAAGGAGAAAGATATCATCAACTTTGATTGGTCAGACGAGTTCCTGAAGTATGTACAAAATCCAGACTATGGACTTGGTGAAGAAATCGATTATGATTTTGAGCGAATGGAAACGCATCTGGCAAACGAGATTGCGTTTAGGAAGTGCTACCTCAACGATTCTCTGAACACATTCATATTCTCCAAGGAACTTTTCCATTCTAGTGCCAAAATGCTTACGAAGATTCGTGAACTATGTCCTCAAAGTAAGTCATTGCCAGAAGAGTTCCGCCAAAGGTTACATAGTCTAGACGAATGCAAACAAGATGCTCGGACCCTGCTTCAGCATATCGAAATTATTATTTATCTGCTAAATAAGAAGCCAATCCCTGCCGAAGGAGACGAAGAGATGGCACTGGAAAAGTTTGCCGAAATGTGGAAATCGAAGCTTCCCAGTCCTTTCCCAGTTAATCTGCTGCCGGAACCAAGAGCCTCCATACAACTGACTCATATTGCCCCTCTCTATGAAGCGCTGGAAAACCTGCTTGCTGATGGAACTGTTGAAGGACTGCCAAGACAATTCCGAGTAGCGTTGACAGAGGAAACCAAGAAAGGTCTGGACGATTTGGTGGACAGCAGAAAAAATAGATCGTTAAAACTCAAGCAATTCCTGACAGCATTGCGACGTTTCGTATTCCGTTATCTCTCAGCCGAAAAGTTCTTTCCAGAACCGCATACACCATTACATTCTTTATTGAGTGAACCTTCATTGTGGTCACCAGATCAACCTCCAGATCCAGATGTTATTCCTAGAGAAATGATGCTGGAGAACATTCACGCTATTATAACACATCTTCAGCAGGTAATTATATAAATGGAGAAATTTAGAAAGGCCATGGCCGCCAAACCATGTATAGGCCAGCAGGGCAAGCAATTAGGAAACACTGAGAATGAAATCCGGGTGGTTTAAATAATGCCTAAGCAAATATGTATTTGGTCGAAGAAATTGATAAAAGTAGCATATTTACTAACATGATATCACTTATGTTTAGGAACAGAAAGGAAACTCAAGTGCAAGAAGTCAGAATCAACGAAGAAATCAACCAAGAAGACAAGGGAAGAGACGTATTGTTGCAAACTTTAAACGTTAATTATCTGATTATTATAGTAATTAATATATATTTACTACAGTCTATACGCGTCAATTAGAGAGCACGACGATTTCATTTTTAATGTAGTAAGAATAACAATGCAGTTGCAAGTTTACATTTAGATATTTGGCATTTATGAATAATGATCAACAATAGGGCCATTTATACGGGACAAAATAAGACGCGACTTACATAAGACGCGACTTAAATAAGACGCCAGTTTGTCGTATAAAAGGCACAAAATTCTTATGTAAGACGCGTCTTGGATAAGACGCGACTTAAATAAGAACAGGACTTTTAGCTGTTCTTATTTAAGTCGCGTCTTAAATAAGAAATTTTGGACAAAAATTCTATAACTACACATGCCCGAAACTTGAAACAACGTAAAATTATTAGCCTTGCATATTAAAACAAAAACAACCGAAACAACATTATAGCTATAGCAAGTAAATAAGAATAGAGCCGTAGAGAACCATTTATGCGATAACTCTGCTTATATAAGACGCGTCTTATGTAAGTCGCGACTTATTTTGTCCCGTATAAATGGCCCTAATGAGCTTATACATTTATTATAAGTTCAAATGTTAAAGTTTGTCTTATTAATTTAACAATTGTTTGTTACGTAACACGCGCTCAAAACTATACAAAACTATATTATCAGTCTTGTTAAAAGTTACATGCTTAAAATACAATTATTATACAACAATACAATTATGATCGCATATCTCGTATATACAGTGTTGAATAAATATTGGCCAAAATGTGACTCGTGACGTCGATCATCTTTCCTCGAATCAAATATATAATTAGTCACAGTTGATGTCTGAACCAGCTGAAAACTAGAAACACTCCGTTCTTTCGTCAGGGGGTAATCAGGGATGCCTTACTATATGATCCCAAAATGACGCCACAAAGGTTAAAGTAAGGACTACCGGCTGGCCACAACCAAGAGGCTACTGCTATTTGTAAAATAGAGACCGACACAAACCTTAACCAGGTCGTTCTGCGCCCACAGTAAAGTTTATATTTAGCATCCAATCAAAATGTCCCAGGGAAAATGTCAATTTCAAAAGACCATTTCTTGTCTTATAACCAAAGCAGGATTTTGGGTTTTTAACATGCAGCCAGACAGGGATTCGCATGTGTCAGGCCCTGTTTTCCTTCAATCAAACTCGCATTTAAGGAAAGGAAGAAATGGTCTGATACCAAGACTAACTACTACTACACTACAAGATACTGCCGAAATCGGAGGGCCTTTCCTCGCCAGATCGAAATGTTTTACAACTTTTCGCAGTGGTTCAGACACAAACCACGGCAAATTATTACAGACTTCATTGGAGACGAACGGAGACGACAAATTTAGCTTTTAGTTACAATATTTTAAATTGTCATTACTGTCATGTCCATTATGGAAGATTAACTGGGCAAATTCCTATTCTTTTAAATTAGTATAATTATATAAGCTCAAGTCATCACGAGTTTTCGATCCAACAGTACAGTGCAGCACAGCACATGTGTGCTGTGCAGTACTTTTTGCGTCGAAAACTCAAGATCGTCTTCTTTTAATGATTACCTCAAAGGTCCTTCTGATTATGTACAATAATTGTAGTTCTTGTGTTCAAAAGAATATTTCTATTCAAAAACCATCAATCTGAAGTTTTGATTAAAATCCAAAGTCATCTTCAGATTCAAATACAATGAAATAAGCCAATATCGAACAGAACATCATGACATTGCCACTGAACACTAACGCCATTGCGCCATATTCGATCTGATAAAAAAGAAATATCGGCAACGATAAGTACCTATTGGTACATCCGGCTGTACCCATGCCAAACCTAATGCTTAGTCTAAAACGATTGTGAGACGAGGCAACAACTACCAACTGCATGAGCGAAGGTCGTGGTGCTGAGAATAAAATTATAGAAATCCATTTTGCCGTATTTAATCAGTTGTTACTGTGTTGTTTGCCGGGGAACTATATACACTATATACATGAAATTTATGAAAAACAATGGAATTAAACCATAAAATCTGGATAACTTTGTATCGGAAAAACCCAAGTCGTACATTTCATAACAATTAAAAATGGATTTTTATTGGTGAGTTTTAGTAAGTGTTGCAGGGCAGCAGATGGTTGTCAGCTTCAGAAATGTTGACACTTATACTGTAGGAGGAGCAAGAAAATTAAACTACATCTATCAATTGCACTTATTTTCCACCAAATACAAGACTACTTAAGTAGTAATTGATATAATGATACCAATTAACATTTGCTGTGCAGGTAGCTGATTGACCGCCAGCTGTTGCACGACAATATTTAGTGAAACTCACCTAAATATAACTACGATTCTTAGTCCTTTGCTATTTAGTAACTTCTACAGGGTGTATAAAAAAAACTGAACAGATTTGAAATTGCTCTCAATTTCGCAAAACACCTATTTGTATCTGGTTTTTTATATATATAGCTTTCTTTGGGTACTTATAATGTAAAATAATGAAAAAAAATTCTCGAACTCAAATTTTGTGAACCAGGGGGGTGTGTCTTTTCCAACAAACTAAAAATGGCTCGCGCACAAAATTTAAAAGCTGTAATCATATTTTGAGTTAACAGATTG